AATGACAGTGTCGATGGTTAAGGCCACTCTCAAAATTTTGTCGCCGGGCCGGGGCATACGCCCGATTTAGGCTAGTGGAGTGCGGGACATTAAACTGACCCAAAACTAAGTACAATCCGTAGTCCCCCTCAACCAGGGATTTAGTAATAACCTCATTTAATTGTGATAGCTGAAAATGGTAACAGACACACGAATTTTGACCCACTATGCGTAATCCTTAGTTGTCGTTTGTTGCCTTTTATATTGCTGTATTGACTTTTATGTGCTAAGCAAATTCATATTAAAAAAATCTGAATATTAAGGTTAAGCTACTTCAGATTATGTTAACATGTCTTAATGTCTTACTTTCCCTATAGATGCCTTTTTTGTTTTGTTATAGGACAAAAAAAATCAACTTATGCCCTAATAAATTGATTTATATATGAATTAGATTTAGACGTACCTCAAACACCTCATATATATAATATATATATATATATATATATATATATACAGGGTGTTTCATAATATATGCGCAGGACTTCAGGATGTGATAGCTCATCCAAAAAGATGAAAAAAGTCGCTATTAAGTTACGCTCTAAAATGCACAATTTTCGAGATACAGGGTGTTGAAATTTTAGAAAAAAAATCGTTTTTTTCGAATATCTCCGGAACCGTTTATCGTACAAAAAACAGCTTTTGTAAGCATTTTCTACTCAAAATAAGCTATGTTTTGTGCTAGAAAAAAAAAATTTTTTCCTCATAATTGACGGAGATTTTGAAGGGATAGCGGGTGTTTTTCTCCTTAACTTCTACGCCCCTGAAAAAAGTACGGTTTTGAGAGGCCCATTCGAACCGACAATGTTTTCTACACAAAAAAGGTACTCCTGGTCATAAGCTCTAAAGTTGACCGTTTTCGAGAAAAATCAACTTTTATGTTTAAAAACATGGTCAATTTAAAAAAAATATATTTTTGTTTTACTAATTAAACACAATTTATTTTAACGTTAGGACAAGTAACAAAACCAAACCATAATTGCAAAATAAAAAATGATTTAAAAGTTGTCTTTGCTTAATTCTCCAAACCGTAAAGGTAACGCATTTCGCACATTTCAGCATTTGAGTAAAAAATCATTTTTTATTTTTTTTTTAATTTTGCAATTATCGTTTGGTTTTGTTACTTTTTCTAACGTTAAAATAAATTTTGTTTAATTAGTAATAAAAAATTTTTTTCAAAAAATTGACCATGTTTTTAAACATAAAAGTTTATTTTTCTCGAAAACGGTCAACTTTAGAGCTTATGACCAAGAGTACTTTTTTTCTGTAGAAAACATTGGCGGTTCGAATGGGCCTCTCAAAACCGTACTTTTTTCAGGGGCGTTGAAGTTGAGGAGAAAAACACCCGCTACCCCTTCAAAATCTCCACCAATTATGAGTAAAAAAAAATTTTTTCTGGCACGAAACATAGCTTATTATGAGTAGAAAATGCTTACAAAAGCTGTTTTTTGTACGATAAACGGTTCCAGAGATAATCTAAAAAAAACGATTTTTTTTCTAAAATTTCAACACCCTGTATCTCGAAAATTGTGCATTTTAGAGGGTAAGTTAATAGCGACTTTTTTCATCTTTTTGGATGAGCTATCACATCCTGAAGTCCTGCGCATATATTATGAAACACCCTGTATATAAAGGGTGTTTAAATTTCTATGCGACAGCATTGCTATGCGACAGCATTGCTATGAACCTCAGAATCGGTTACAAGTTACAAGAGCGATTCAATTCGAGAAAAGTTGCGAAATTACACACTTTTTTAATATGGCCCATTTCAAGATAGAAAAAAATCAGCAATTCTTAAAATATTAAAAAAAAAACCTAAATTTCATATTTTTGCGCTCTGATGCCTACGCCTCTCATTTTTTTTTAAAATTAAGTTATTAACGTCACGAGGCGTGGTTTTGTATACTTGATGTTTAATAATTCCCTATATGGAAAATCCATAGGGGTAATATTAGGTGATCTCGAAGGCCAATTTATGGGTACATTATTACCAATAGTTTGGTTTAAAATTGATTAAAAATCATGTGCAACGCCTATCATGATGTGCTGGTGCACCATCATGTTGGAAATATTTAAAGTTACTTAACACACAAGAGGTCTAGTAAATTTCGGCAGTTAAATTGAAATCAGTTTTGGAATGTAAATGCTAATTTCCTTGTGTCCAACAATAATGAATATTTCGGTTAAACCATCCATTATTACAAAATCTGCTTTCGTCGCTCTACATTGTTTTTTAAATATCTGGAACCAACCGTAAAATATATTTTTTTGTTAAAGCCCAAAGCCTTTAAATGCAGTACTTTTTAGTAACGATATTTTTTAGCCAACAGTTTCTTCTTTAATCTCTTTTAGGGATACCTCGTGGTTGTTAATATTTTTAAATGCACATAACCTAAAATAAAGATCACAATGTAAATTTTAAAATAATTGAATACATTGGTCTCGCCTTTACCTTCTTCTACTGAAACAGTTGAATGTCTTTTTTGAGAATTATCAAAATATTTATGATTCCGCAAATTTTTCTCCAATTGGGAACTTCTTTTCAGGATATAAATCAGCGTACATTTGGGACGCAATATTGGCATTGCCAAGGTTTTTCTTTATTGGAAAACTTAATTTAGTATTCAAAAATTTACTTAATTATAAAAACACTTTAGTTGACAGTAAGTATAATTTTGTTTAGATTTCATAGTTAACTTTAGTATCAATATTAATTAGTTATTGCCAATATTACAGTTTGTTAATTAAAATTTTAAAAAATTATTTATTAGGTTTGTTATTAACTAAAGTACCTAGCTAGTGTGATACATCGTAGGATTCTTTTAATTTTTTTCTATCGATTTCAAAATGGCCATAGGAAAATCAAAAAATTAATAAGGAAAAAAACACAGATTGGATTAAAAAACGTGTATGTTTACATTTAAAACTTACATTTTCTTTAAATTCCCAGGAATATAATATACTTATATATCAATATTCAAAATTAACAAAAAACACATTTTTTTAAAAGCATAGCATTTTTAAATTATGTATACCTTAATTTATTTTAGTAGTCTGGATTAGTCTTGATGTACCTAGCATATAGAAAATAATCTCACTAAATAGATATTTTAAGGCCAGTCTTTTAATTTAAATCGTACCATAATAATTGCAGGATGAATCGTAATGGCTACATCACTAATATTAACTTAAGGCCTTCCTATATTTAATAATTTATTTTTAGGTTATAGTGTTAACAAGTCTTAAATATTTTGTCCACTAAAATTATTAATATTGCTATAAAATAAAAAATATTTCGGGTTAACCTTTAAATTAAAGAGGTAAGAAGCAAACAGGTACAAGTCCATTTAAGTTAGGTAATTTAGAGTTTTTAAAAAATTTCTCGTAACGCGAAAATTGTACGATTTCTACATGTTAATTAATGCAAACAACAATTTTGAAACAAGTATCCAAATTTTTGTATATAGCAAAAAGTTTAAAAGTTAATAACTCCACTGCACTTTTTTGCACTTGTACCATTTTGAAAATTCGGGCTTAACCCCGGCGCATTCGCCATTTTTGACAATGTTTCATTGGATCTTTAGAGGTTTATGGTTACTACTAAAGTAGATTTTATAAAATTAATAATGTATATTATTTTAATTTATTATTTGATATCATTATTAAAAATAAAAAATAATGAATTCATTTAAATGCACAGTGCAAGCATGTAACTTTTTCAACAACTTGAATTTTAAGTTAAGTTTCTTAAATGTATACTATTATATAATATAATATATTATACAGGGTAAGTCGGGAGGAACAGACCAAACTTCAGGAGTGTATTATACACATGAAAATAATGTAAAAAAACTCATATGTTCTTATCCGATTTTTGTTTGTTTTCAAATTATAGCGCAAAACAAAAGTTCATACGTTCATAACGTTAATATTTTAATCATAGCGTTCTTTTAATAAATGTTCGAAAATATACCCATTGACCTCTAAACATTTTCTGCTTCGTCTACGAAGAGTGCCTGTTGCTCTCCTAATTGATTGACGTCTGTCTTCTTTAATAACGGCTGCAGTATTTTGAATACGTCGAATTAGGGCATCACGAGTGTCCACTTTTACTTTATAAACCTCATTTTTAAACCAGCCCCATAAACAATAGTCTAGTGGTGTGAGGTCTGGGGATCTTGGAGGCCAATTAATAGGACCACCAATACTAGCACGATGAAGCTCCTGCACATTTCACCCGTCACGTTAAGCAACATTTGGACGAAAGATTTCCAGGGCGTTGTGGTCCTATTAATTGGCCTCCAAGATCCCCAGACCTCACACTACTAGACTATTGTTTATGGGGCTGGTTTAAAAATGAGGTTTATAAAGTAAAAGTGGACACTCGTGATGCCCTAATTCGACTTATTCAAAATACTGCAGCCGTTATTAAAGAAGACAGACGTCAATCAATTAGGAGAGCAACAGACACTCTTCGTAGACGAAGCAGAAAATGTTTAGAGGTCAATGGCTATATTTTCGAACATTTATTAAAAGAACGCTATGATTAAAATAACGTTAATGTATGAACTTTTGTTTTGTGCTATAATTTGAAAACAAATAAAAATCGGATGTGTATAATACACTCCTGAAGTTTGGTCCGTTCCTCCCGACTCACCCTGTATAATATTATAAACCGTTAAAACCATTGTGTGTATTAACCAGATTAAACAAAGTATCCTATAGACACTTTGGTATATCAAAACTTTTGGTATAATATTAAGCTAACCCTTCGAAATACCCAATTAATTAGCAATAAATCCTTGACGTCATGACAAGGACATTGTCCTTAAATTATGAGATATTTATCCTTCCAATTAGAAAATTAGCATAAGTTGGACCGATTTAATTTACATCTTCCTAAAATTTATCGATCGTTCTTAGCTTTTGTATATATCACTTTTTAAGCGCTTATTTTGTTTCAGGTATTAGTATTCTGTACGCAAAAACTGTTAAGGAACCGCAGGAGCTTTTATCTTTCACCAATCCCTTATCTCTTGACGTTTGGCTGTACATGGCCACTGCTTACATTGTGATGTCCATGCTGATATTTTTGGTTGCCAGGTAACGAAATCTACTTAACTAAATATAATTTATACAATGACTTAACTAAATATAATTTATACAATTTTTAAACAAATCGGTTTTAGCATTTTATGCTATTATAACTATTATAATTTATAACTTATAAACAATACAAAAATATATTGCACAAGATTTTATTATTTGCTGAATGTTTCTCATTGAATTTTAATAAGTTTTTAAGAATTGTGTAGCCTGATTTTTTTTCATCAATAAAACGCCATTTTATAAACAAATTTAATTAAATTAATGAGTGTTTAGAAAAGTTTATAAACGAGGCGCATACTATACTTTTTCTACGACAAATACTTATTATTATCTTAAAATGATTTAAATAAAATATTTGTATAGAGCGCCATCTATGAAAAAATAGGGAAATCTGTGTGTCACCGTTAAATGTCAAATTTTTATAATATAAAGGTTATAAATCGAAATGTATTTCTTGAAAATTGACAGTTTTTCACAGTAAAAGTAAAGAAAATGTTTTATGAGCACTTTACAGTTAAGTCCGTGCCCGAATTTAAGTTATAGTTTACTGTCGGCGAAATTAAAAGGTCAGTACAATGTTCATATAAACTTTTCAAATATTGGAGTTGAGAAACTATTTAATATTTTGTACTTTTGTATTGAGATAATAAAAAAAAATTTTAGTATTATTTTAAAAGAAAGGCACTTTATTTTAACGATTGTATGACACATGGAGCCCTCATAGTATGACATTTGACAACTGTCAACTGGGTAACTTAACTTCAGCCAGTGACTAAAACCCCATAAAGCCACAAATTGTCAATGAGTATTTAAAAGGTCACTTAGTGTTATGGAAACATGTACGATAATGGGCGTTTTAAAGGTGGGAGTAGAAAAAATACTTTATTAGCAATAGAAACTTCATTAAAAAAAAAAATTTGTAGAGAATGTAATGCTTCTAAATAATCATAAGTCATCTATATAAAAAAAGAATGACTTACTATATTGCAGAAAGAAATAATAAAAACAAAATATTTTCCTGTGTAATTAAAAATACCAGTTAAGTATTAATATTTTTTTAATATAAATGTATTAATTAAAAATAATTTTTACAAAACTATCCTTTTAGTAAAAATATAATACAATTACAAAAATAAGATATTTATTACTAATCCAGTATTTTTTTACTAAAAATGCAAAACAAATCTGGTTTTAAAAAAATGTGGGCTTATATGAATAATTACATTTTAACATTAGTTTAAAAATCAAGTTTATAAAACACTTATAAACAGAAAAGCAACCACTGGAAAACAAAACTTTATATTGTTTTGATATTTTAATACTATGGCAAAAAGGGTGGATCCTGGATTATTAAAATACAGGTTGATTGCAAATAATAGAGATAATACATAATTCACGAGTATGAGGTTTCCGTCTCAAGTCGCTAGACGAGAGACCTAAATAATTTGTAAATAATGTACATAAACTCAAGAGTAATACTAAAATTTATCTACTTTAATAGGTAGATAAATAAATAATTTTTAAAAACAAATGAATATCACCTGTAACTGTCAGATGGTTAACATTACTTTTTCGATTTTTAAATATTATAGTCGCCTTCTCCCAATTTAAAACCGGGCAACGTGAATAATGAGTTCATTATTCCCATTGTTGTGCAGGGAATTTATAATGTTAATCATTATATACAGAAAAATTAATATTATACAGGAGATAAAATGGTTTAAACCATTTTGGGGTATTGAAATAAACGAAAATAGTACTTTAAAAGTTAAAAAAAAGGTTGTCAATAACTTGAAATTGTTTAAATTAATCATTTAGAAATATCAGTCTACATAGTACTAAAATACGAACACTCAGTATCCCATGGAATCCTGAGTAGTGTGGAACTCCACCTGCTGACGTATACCCACTTAAACTCCCCCATTAGGTGATTCAAAGCCCTGCACTGCGGTTTGCTTACGCAATCCTATTGTGCCTTAAATGGTTTTACTTCCATAGTCCCAGCTCCGTTGTTTGCTTCTATAAAGCGCAGTGGCTGTGCCAGTGAAAGTGATTACAGGTTTTCGGGTGGGCCTTACGGTCCCTTTCCCTTGTCTCGCAACTTTAAGCCCCAGAAGGTTTCTTAGAAACTCCCTTCGGTTTTTTGTTAATGTTATCTGCCAGCGGAAAATTTATCTCGGGACTTGGCATCTAGCCCTTTGCCTTTGGGCCCCAGAGGGTTTTTTAGAGAAACCCCTGCAGTTCCTTGGCAGTTGTTTTATTCGCGGTGGAAGTATTTGTCTTGCGGGTTGGCATCTAGCCCTCCGCTTTTGGGACCCCATAGGGTTTCTAAAAGACTCCTTCTCGTTCCTTGGAGGTGGTGTTATTCGCCGCCTGATGTGAAGAGTTAGTTCGTCCTCTTCTTCAACTCTGTATGATCGGGAGTGCTTTCATGCAGGAGCAAGGCATTTAAACACTTCTCCACCTTTGAATCTCCCGATAGGTGATCCAATAGTTAGTCCCACCAGTCATGGTGGCCCCAACAGCTATTGGCTATCCTACAGGGTTAGCTCAGCCTACAGGACTAAAATACCTTAAAATTGATTCAAAAATAAAGGATATATCGACGCTCGAAAAGACGAGTATCTTCTCTCTAAAAATGAATTAGGCAAAAATTACTAATTTAATAGTTATTAGTAGCTGCTTTTTCACTTGTACCATGTTTAACCATCGAATACCATGGTATCCCAAAATTTAACAGCAAATTCTTATGTAAAATTGTCCCCTAAATCCGAAAATCCAAAAAGTTAAAAAAGTAAAACAGTTTTTGAGATATAGTCAGTTTTCCATTTAATATGGAATTGACTATATCTCAAAAACTGCTTTCACTTCATAATTTTTGACGGTATTTTCGGATTCAGGGGAGAATTTACAAAATAATCGCATGTTAAATTTTGGGATACCATGGTATTTCATGGTTAACCATGGTACAAGTGAAAAAGCAGCCACTAATAACTATTAAATTATTCATTTTTGACTAATTTATTTTTAGAGAGTTTACTCAAAATTTACAAATGTTCTGAAAGCGCAATGAAAAAGCTATCTTTTACATAAATTTAAAAATTTGGCCTTATTTCTTTTGTTTTTATTATTTTATCTAAAGAATCTTAAATATAGTCTAATAATATAATTTTAATATTTAAATGAAATGCTTGAGTCTAAAATATTAATTGTACGATAATGTTCGAGTTTAAAGATTTATTTTCTAAATAAAATGCATACAGACAAAGGCTGATTTAGGATACTTTCGTACAATTTTGTAAAGCTGTTGGGCCGTAAACTATAAACATGCATGCGGGCTTTGTTACCAAAAACCCTTTTAAAGCAATTTTATTTTAACCGAATAAAATACAGAAAACCTAGAGGTTTTATTTTATCGTTTATTATTTAATGTTTACCTAATATTTTTGTGTTATGCATTTTAAAACTCAAGCATAGACTCTATTAATTTATATTTTTTACAATTTGCGTGAAACAAACAGATAATAAAATGTATGCCATTTGTTTAGTATTGCAAATATTTATTGTTTATATTTAATATATTACATTTTGTACTGTCACTGAACAATTTCAAGTTTTTGTCAACATTTTTCACTACTTAATCTAAAATTGTTTTAATTTTTATTTAGAGTGTTTAAGAAATACCATGAATTTCTTAGCTCAAAAAATATGACAATATGAATTAGATAGACATATTATGTATATTTAATCCATTTTATCTTAGTTGTATTGGTAAGCTGGGAGAAACTTTAACTTTTTATTTGTATTAAATTGACGAAATTTTTAACTAAGAAGATTATATTCAGGAGCTTCAACTCCATATAAATTCGAGGAGTGGGGGGTCCATAAGAATGTCGCACGTGTACAATGACCGAGAACGCAAAATTGAGTTCTGCGCATCTTTTGCAGAGATAAAGAAGGTATCTTTTTAACCTCTATTATTTTGTGCACCTGTCAAGCATCAAACCAATGTTTACCTTGACCAATTTCGTAAATAAGAAGATTATAATGTAATAATAATATTTTATATTAAAATAAAATCTTAGTAGTAAAGAGAACAGTTTGTTAAAACAGTGAGTAAATTTATGAACTAATCAGTATTACTGTCGTTGTAGCAGAAACCGTAAACTGCAGTTTACATGTAAACATGCATGTAATGATGTTAATGTGTTCATCAGTAATGTATTTTCACGTATAAAATAACTGAATTTTGCAATGTAAAATCAGACAATTTCAAGTTTTGTGGTGTAATTATTACACTGTAATGTTTTGTTATAAACTTACTGATGGTATTTCAAATAACTGATGTGTAGGTTTTTTATCCCTTGACAAATTAAACAATTTTTAACACAGCACAAACATCCCATATGTAGTGATTTTCTCAAATAAAAATTTTAAAATTAAAATAAAGCATGTCAATCAACCTTCTTTTTTTCTGTTGTAAATCTTTCAACCAATGAGTGCACGTGCAGTCTGTCACGTGAGTTGACGATCTATGCGCGGTTGATTAATAATTATTTGTGCGCATTGTACACGATACGACGCGTTTTCTATCCATTCTCATGCGGAGTTGAAGCTCCTGAATATAATCTTCTTATTTTTAACCCTCTTTCCTGTTGGAAACCATTAAAAGTTGACATGATTGACAGATGTAATTGATCACACTGTTTAAAAAATCAAAGCTTTATATTATCATAAACGACGCGTCGTGACAATTTTTTTATCCTTTTACATAAATTAAAAATGTTAAAACATTTAAATTAAATAAATAAAATTTAATTTTTAAAAGACTTAAAAGTGACTTTATTTTGTAATTTTTTATTCTTAAAAACTCCCCGGTATATTGTTAAAATATATTAAAAATTAAATTGACAACCATGTTGTATCTATTAATAAACTATATTTGTATGTATCTCGGTAGGAAGTTGTGAATGTAACTATTGTTGTTTTGTTGTCAAGATTTATCTTATAAGTTGTTGAATAAAATATGTGAAACACTAACAGTTTTTTAATATCTTCGATTTTAAAAGTTTTGCTAATGCAATTGGCCATTAAATAATCTGCATTTAAATATATATTAGGAATGGTATAGAATTAGTATGTCATTTTCGGGGCAACCTGTATAAGTATAATTAATTACATAAAATATCATTTTATACTTTGATCCCAAAAAATTGCACCTTTGTCGCGACAGCCGCTAATGGACTGTCAAAACTTTTATCTAGTTTTTAAATAAATCTAATATATTATGATAACGGTGGTGTTTTAATGGTTTCAGGTTAAACCCAAACGACTGGGAGAATCCGCATCCATGTGACCCCTGTCCGCAGGAACTTGAAAATATTTGGGACATTAAAAATTGCTGCTGGCTAACTCTTGGCTCCATTATGAATCAAGGTTGCGATATTATGCCAAAGTAAGTTTTAGGAAAAATGCGGTTAAAATCATTATTAATTTTTTTTTAAATACTGCAACGTGATACTTTTTTATTATAATGATTTAAATAAAAAAGTATTGCGTTACTACAATTTGTTATTCTTTATAATTACAGTCAGTAAATAAATTATAAAGGTAAAATAGACAAATATGCGAAAAAATCAGAAATACTTTTTTTAAATTAATTTAAATAAAAAAATATTTGAATATTCTATGGCATCCAACGTAATTAAAGTGCTTGTGGCTGAAAACCAATTGCATTAAATTACTAGTTTTGGTTTTTGCAATACTGAAATCAATTGCCAATGTGTTCTGTTTAATTATATGTTTTTGTGAAAGGATTAGTTAGATAAAAAAATTAATTAAATAAAGAAAATTAGTTTTTAGTTAAAAATATACTTAATTTTCTACTTTAAACAGAAATTTAAAACAAAATATTACCTTAAACCATTGTTTTTAAAAACAATGATTAGTTTAAACTTTGCTTAAATGTGAATAAACAGGGTGGCGCACCGAAAACTTTTCACCCAGGATTTCTTTCTTGTAAATGAATAAATTAAATTACGTAAACTAGTTTTCAGGGGCATATATTGTTTTGATATTATCACCCCCATGCTGCAACCCTACGGGTGCTTTTACCCTTAAAATCTTAAATGGAAGGAGAGGTCGAGTGGTACCTTTTTGAATTATTTTTCGAACAAGATCTTGCTTACTATATTATAGGCAGCACTTACTTAAACACAGAATTATATAAAAAAATATTTAATTACGACGTTTCGTCTGGTAAATGAATTTGAATATGGTTGTAAAATTGTTGATGTTTTGCTTTTCCATCCTAGATAATGAAAGTGCCACAAAAGTTCCGATTAAAGATGCACTTAAGATTGTCAGAACCAAACGTGGAAGATCATATTATTTAAGAAATATCACAGGGAATCATGAAACTACTGGAATACTTCCTTGAACATTCGTACTTTTAGGAAGCACTGAAATAATCAAACAAGAAACCAAAACTGTGGATAAGATACGTGGACAACACCTTCATTATCTAGGATGGAAAAGATGACGAACTTCTGGATTTTCTGCAACACATTAACAATTTTACCCCCACAATCAGATTCAAAAATGGCAAACCCATTCAGACTTCGGTATACAGGAAGCCCACGCATAGAGGACAATATCTCACTTATATTTCAAACCACTTAAAAAATACGAAACATGGGATAGTAAGAACCTTCATAGATAGAACAAATACCATCTGCAACTCGGAAAAAACCCTCAAACAAGAAATAAAACTTTAACGGAAATAGTCACCCAATAAAATTGGCTAAAAAATTCAAGTCTGAGGAATTGGTCGAACCCACATAAAAAACGAAGAACCAACGCTTAATATTCCATACTTAGGAGGAATTTCTAAAAAAAATAAGAATAGGACGGAAATACAACTGCAGTACTGTTTTCAGCTCAAGAGACACTTTGAAAAGCTACCAAACGAAGACAAAACCAACAAACCAAAAAGAACTGAATCTACCAGATTTCCTGTTACTGTAGCCGGTTCTATATCAGCTAGACATAAATACCGCAATAGTGCAGAAAGAACCACACTGTAGAAAGAGAATTTTGAAAGAAACAGCAGTCATTTACCAGAACCCCGATTGCTTTAGAAAACCTTTATTGGACATAGGGAAATTAAATAGATGTAATATTGGCTTTGTTAAACCTGGATTCCACTTAACTTATTTAATATTCTAAACATTACTGGAGAGTACGAGTCGAAACGACTTGATTACTCATGAAAAAATATTTTAAAAAAATGGCGATAAATTATGTAATTTTGGTGATAAATTGAAAAATAAAAGCTTTGAACATGTCAAAGGAAACGATTACTTTTGAGAAATGAGAAATAAACAAAAACTGACCTAAAATGATTATTATTTATAAAATTTTCAGAAAAATCAATATATCCAATTAAACAGACAATGAAAATAATTTATTGCATATTCTGGGGGTTTAAAATCCACCAAGAACTTTTATCATACATATCATAAATTTTCGTGGACATACTTTATATGTAAACATCTCGAAATAAAAAGCATTAGCACTTTTTTATACATCAACTCTAGTCTATACAGTTTAAAGATTTGCTCTTCCATCTTATTTTGTTTATTTGGTTTTTTATTATTTCAAACAATGCTTTAAAGAGGTTCAATTGGGTCTAAATTGGAAATATTGGCTAAATAAATAAAATTTACATTTTAAATTGACAGTAATAATTTTATATAAGGACCATGGTTGCCTGTAGGACAAGTCAAAGACCACTGTGAAAAGTGGTATGAGCAAAGAAAAAGAATATAAAGGTGACCTTATATAATAAACCCAAGGAACACGAATGTCACAATCGTCTGACAATCAGGGACATATTTAAATTATTTTATTAAATTAAATATTAAACATTTTATGCTACAATACCGATGGGCAGCGTCGTTAGAAAATTGTTGTATACAGGGTTGGTTTAATATAAAGTTTCCACCCCGGCAGCTTGTTGCGCATATTCCGATTTAAGTTTTACTTCCCTGGTTTAACAAACATAGAAACAGACTATATGTCCTTTGACATTTGTTTTCAGTTTCTAGGGTTTTGCAAGGTTTTAAGCCAGACTTTTTCTTAGGTTACGTGTTTATTAGGGGAACCAAGCACATTTATAAATTTATATATAATAATTTTCTTTATCCAACATTTAATTAATTTTATTGATGAAGCAAGGTTAATGTGTCTTAAGCCATAATTAGACGAGAAAAAACTCCTCGCAGCGATTAAAAAATTAATCGTGAAGTGATTCATAACCTTCATCACGAACAGACACTTTAAAATATCCGAGTAGTCTTATTTCGAGTTATTTCAAATTTTAAAACGAAATTTCTTGCAAGACACCCTGTACTAAGTACTGATATTAACTATTTTTCAATTATTTAATATAGTCCGTTCAAATTAGACCAAAAAATAAGAATGAAGGTACATAAATGTACAACAAGCTGAAAATCAGTAAAATTGTTCAGAATATAATTATAAATAAAATTTTAAAGTTCCCCATCATTCAACTGCATGGAAAAATTTTTATTCAAGGTCAAAGGTCAAAAAAATTAGTTTTTCGCGATTTTCCGCTAAACGGTTTTATCGTAAGTAATATCATAAGGGCATTTAATTTTTCCGAAAGGAATCGAAAAAACACGTTGCTAAGTGATATTTTAACAAAAAGCATGAGTGCTGGTGGCAACAAAAATCCGAGTCGAAGAGGAGGATTTTTGCACCTGCACGAATGCTTTTTGTTAAAAAATATTACTCGATTTTTTTCACAGGAAAAATTAGATGCCCGAATGGTATTTGACAAGACTATTTCATGAGTAACAGTTAACAATTAAAATATAAATTGCAACAGCTGTCAAGTTTTGCCGCGGGTAAACTCGAAAAAACTGCTGACAGGTGCTGTCACACAGTTTTTTCACCTAGAAACCATTTGTAATTCAAAATTGCGCGTTTGTGATTGGTGGAAATTAAGTCGAGGGAAATAGTCGTAAGTAATATCATACGGGCATTTAATTTTTCCGAAAAGAATCGAAAAAACACGTTGCTAAGTAATATTTTAACAAAAAGCATGAGTGCTGGTGGCAACAAAAATCCGAGTCGAAGAGGAGGATTTTTGCACCTTCACGAATGCTTTTTGTTAAAAAATATTACTTAGCATTGTGTTTTTTCGATTTTTTTCACAGGAAAAATTAGATGCCCGAATGGTATTTGACAAGACTATTTCATGAGTAACAGTTAACAATTAAAATATAAATTGAAATTTTTGTTGACAACAGCTGTCAAGTTTTGCCGCGGGTAAACTCGAAAAAACTGCTGACAGGTGCTGTCACACAGTTTTTTCACCTAGAAACCATTTGTAATTCAAAATTGCGCGTTTGTGATTGGTGGAAATTAAGACGAGGGAAATAGTCATAAAAATACCCCAGACAAAAATTGTAATCGTCATAATATGCATGAGTACGCCACGTATATACATCTCTAGAGCTGTAACACATGTTAAAATATTTTTCTATCGGTCATTGTAACTTAAAATATAATATGCTAATGACATACGAAAACTTTTAGAGTGGTTGTCAACGCATGATCCTTTTCCAGAGGTTAACAAAATTGTTTCTATTGCGAGTGGTGTCGTTGGTGATGATAAAATTAATTGTTATAAAGCTTGTGAAGTTGCACTTACTTCTATGACAAAAATGACAGGACTGACATTCAATAATATTAAATTAAAACGCGCTGACAAAGTTGTTTCTCTTTTAGCTATGACTAGTACCATAAAAGTTCATGAAGAAAAAGTACCTGTTGACCCAGTATTCAAGTTTAAGTATGGCTTGGTTATCAGCTAGACCCTACAGACGGGTTGGAAGTTGGTCAACAACACATTAGAACCAGTTCAAACTTTACTCCCACCTGCGCCGGAAAAACTGCTGAACAAAATTTTTCGCAACTGCTAAAAGGGATGCAGTGCTAAATGTGGTTGCAAAAAAATCGGACTGTTTTGTTCTCTGGCATGTACGAATTTTCAAGGCTGGTCGTGCTCTAATGTTAAATCACCAACAGTGGAGGATTCATTTGATTCCAACGAGGTGACATGCGATACATCGCTATTGACGCAATTTACTTGTACCCAGGATGAAGATGAAGAAGAAGAAGAACAAGAAGAAGAAGATCAAGAAGAAGAACAAGAAGAATTTAAATGTTACGAATCAGACGAATAAACTTCACTCCTTTTTTTTAGTTTACATCGCTTTTATCTTTTCTAATCTTTGCTAATTTCTGTTATTTTGCAATAGTTGCAAATTAACTGACCCGTGGAATAGGCCTACTGGGAAAACTATGTTAAAAAAACGCGCTAAGTACACTACCTCATAGGTGGCGTGAAAACTTGTGCATATTATG